GAGCCCATGCACAGACTTAGAGCTCACTACATCTGAGCTCCAGCACTGGGGCAATAGTGTGAAAGGCACCAGACACTTAAGGGAAGCACTTTTTCTATAAACAGGGTGATGGTGGGCAGGGCAGCTTTCTCCTAGACAGAAGTGCTGGCTCGAAGAAGCCATTATGTTTCTTTTTTCTGAGTTCTCTCTCAAAAGAGCTGAAAGGCAGGTATCATATCTGGCTAACACTGCCTACCCTGCCTGGGTGACTCCCTAGACCTCACCTCATCCAATTTAAGGGCTTACCCAAGGTGTTTCCAGTGGTTTTACCATACAAATGGCCTATCTTGAATCATGCTTCAGACTTTTCAAAAGCTTTCAAATGAGTAACATCAGCCCTTGGCCTGTCCCTTGCCTCTTGTTAAGTTGTCCCAGGGTTAGCACTAGTGGCAACCAACCTTGGTTTGCAAATTGACTCCTCTTGGGAACCTCCAAGCCCAGCACAAGTAACAGCCATCTGCAGATTGCTTTTTAGCTCAGGCTGGGTGGCCTCAGAAAAAACACAGATGGTGCTGGCTAACCTGGGAGGCCCCAGAGCCAGCATATATGATGGATAGCTTCAGACCATGTCAAAGCACCATCCAACCACCTCCACAGGGACACTCAGGGGGCACTGGAGTCCTGTTGAAGTTAGTCCTGCTCAGTGGGGTGACCCTCTATGGTGCTCAAAGCCAGTCCTTGCAGCCAATTGGCCCAGGGGTAAATTCCTCCCTTTAATATGCCAACAGCAATCAAGGCTCAACTACAACAGGATGTTGGTATACACAATCTACTCTGAGGGTGGTTGGAATAGACAACTGGAGTGATAGGAATCTGTGACCTGTAGCTTATAAAATAATTGCTGCATAAGGCCGCTTTATCAAGCCCAAGAAACATAGAAGCCTTACCTTAGTACATAGAAACAAATATAGCATGGTGGCCTAAATGAAGAGAGAAAGAAAGATGCCTCAAAAAAACAAACAACAACAACAACAACAACAAAAAAAATACAACAACAACAGAACAAAGATCCAGAAAGAGAACAAAATGAAGACTAGCAATCTGCTCAATTCAAAGTTCAAAATACTGATTATAAGGATACTCAATGGATTTAGGGGAGGAGTATATAATTTTAGTGAGAATTTAAACAAAGAGATGGGCAACAAAAAGAGAACTAGATAAAAAAGAACCAGTCAGAAATGGATGAATAATACATTAACTGAAATGAAGAATACATTATAGGGAATCAACAATGGAGTAGAGGAAGCAGAGGGTAAAATCAGAGATTTAGAAGATAAGGAAGCAGAAAACACCCAAATAGAACAGCAAAAAGAAAAATGAAACCAAAAAATAAGGATAGTTTAAGAATCCTCTGGAACCCTCAAGTGTACTAACACACATCATGGGGGTACCAAAAAGCAAAAAGAGAGAGCAAGGTATTGAAATCCTATTTTGAAAAAGAATGACAACAAAACTTCCCTAACTTGGTGAAAGAACTAGACATACAAGTCCAGGAAGCATAGAAAAACCAAAACAAGATGAACCCAAAGAGGCCCACACCAAGGTACATGGTAGTTAAAATGCCAAAGGTTAAAGACAAAGAGGATTTTAAAAGAAGTAAGAGAAAAACATTTAGTTACCTACATGTGAATTCCCATAAGACTCAGATGATTTTTTCAACAGAAACATTTAGGCCAGAAGGCATTGGCAAGAAGTATTCAAAGTGATGAAAAGCAAGGACCTATAACCAAGATTACTCTAACCAGCAAAACTTCATTTAGAACAGAAGAACATATAAAGAGTTTCATAGACAAGAAAAAGTTAAAGGAGTTCTTCACCACCAAACCAGCATTACAAGGAATGTTTAGTCAAGGGTCTTCTTTAAGAAGAAGAAAAGATGAAAACAAAGATAATAAAATGGTAATAAGTACATATATATCAAAATTTAATCTAAAAATAAAATAAATGAAGCTAAATAAAAACAGACTCATAGACACAAAGAACATTTTGAAGGCTGGTAGATAGAAAGGGGGTTGGGGGATTGATTCAAAAGTAATGAGATTAAGAAAAACAATTTGGTGGTTACATAATAGTCACATGGATATAAAGTACAGCATAGGGAATATATTAATATTGTAATAACTATGTATGGTGTCAGATGGATACTTGATTTATGGAGTTGATTACTTAGTAAGTTATATAATGTCTAGTGGCTGGGATGTACACCTGAAACAAGTATAATATTGTATGTCAACTTCAATTGAAAAATTAAAAGAAAAACAATTTAAAAGAAAAAAAAAAGGCACTGGATAGTAATGTGGAATGGGAGGAGACCCAGAATTATGCTGATTCTCTGACCTGCCACCTCACTGAGCAGACTCTGCTCTTCAGCCTGGTCCAGATGGATGCTTCCTGTGGCCTTTGTGTGTAATTTCTTCAGTAGGGTAACTGATGCCAGGAGGGCGCTGGGCTTTTAGGGCCTATTTACACCCTCTTTGTAGAAATCCTTCCTGACCCCCAATCCAAACAGCCTATAGTCTGTCAGGAAATTCAGCCTTGTATGTTATGCAGATGTATTTAAAGTACTATGCAAACGAAGTTTAAAAGTGAGGCCCTATGTTTCCAAGAGTATTCAAATGTTCATCCCCAAAAAACACCTGACAGACCCTCCACCTCATTAGCAAAATCCCTGTGGTTAGGGCCCAGCCATGGCCTTTGGGGGAAGGGAGGGGACCAGGATAAGTAGCCTCTGGGTTCTCCTCTTTACCCCATAGGTGTTCAGGGCTGCAGGAAAGACTGGCTGCCAGGGAGCTGCTGCAAATGCAGGAGGGTCCCTCCCTCTGGGCTCTTCTGAGCAGGTGGGACATGCTGTCCATCGCCATGGAGTTGGGCCTGCAGCCTTGTGCCTTGTTCTCCCAGGCAGCTTCCCCAGACATCCAGGGCTCAGGCACAAGCGTGTCAGTGGCTGTTCTGTGGAGCCTACAGACCTCTGTTCCGATTTTGAAAGAGTTCTTTTTAGCTGGTTCCCATGGAGGATCCAGAAGGCCCTCCCAAGTTTGATCTCTTCTGCCTCTGTGAATAGCTCTCAATCTACCCCTTACTGTCCATTTTCACTGGTGTTACTCTGGCTGAGACCTCATCCTTTTGTCTCCTGGGGCTGTGCAAGCAATAGGCCCCGCCAGCCCTGCTTCTAGCTTGTCTCCTCTTAGCTCACAGAGTCTTTTAATGTGCCCCTCCATCCAGGTGATTCCCATGATAAAGAACCTCATGGACTCCCACGTTCTAAAACAGTAATTTTCATTCCTGGCTGTACATTAGAATCATTTTTTAAAATGCAAATGCCTGCGGCCCTATTCTCAGAGAACTGGCTTGGGTAAAGTACCCTCCAGAACCAAGTGTCAAAGTACTTTGTTGAAATCCCTTCCTTAGCACTGCAGATGGGGATCCAGGGTGCACCTGCCTTCCTGCTGTCCTCCAGCCTCTCACTACAGGCTGTGCTCTCTGTGCAGGCTATGCGTCTCCTGGAATTCTGGCTCTGGGAGTGGCAAACTCTTGCTCATTTTCCAAAGCATTCCTAAACTGTTACTCTCTCTTTCATGAATTCCTAAGCTGCTATCCCTTTTTCATGCAGCCTTTTAGGGTCCTCACATGGAGTTGGTTAGGTCTTCCTTCTCTCCTCTTTGCCACACATTCGCTGTACCCCCATAATTGCAAGTGCCCACTTCACTGTCTATCCCACTAGCCTGACATACTCAAAGGTCAGGGCTTTCATCCACTTTGCATATGTCTATTCTCTTCACTATGGCCTACCCAGGAGAGAAACCATGCTAGGTCAATGTCTACACTTGCCGGTGCAGGGACCGTCTTATAGTCATTGTATACCCATTGTTTTGTTATGTTGTGATATAAACTCTTTGACATACACTGCTCTGTTAACAATACCCTATAACTGTAACCATTATTCCCATTTTGGAGGAGAGGAAACTGAGGCAGAGTAAATGAAGACAACAATAGCAGGGTAGAATACATAAGTGTGTAGAAATGTGTGGCTCTCTGTTCTTGTATAGACAACCATGGCGATGCACCTGATTATGGGACTGTGACCTCCAGCAACCATTTGCAGTAGGAAAGCCTTCACAGATGACAAACTTTTGGAGGAAATAATTCCTACCCTCATGACTAATTTCAAGCAGAGTCTCCTTAGTAAGGCCGGCCAGCAATGTAATATGCACCAAAGATATCTAGGCCAAAGACCAAGAGAGGAATGAACTTTCAATAAATACCTACTAGGTCTCCATCCTGCCCAGACCTATTTGTAACCGATCCCCTTAACAGTGACACTGAGCAGAAATGATGCCTTTACAGGCAATAGAACCAAAGCTCTGGGAAGGTGGCCACTCAGCTAGTGAAGGTGGGGACTGGGAAGGTGGGGACTGGCCCGTCTGCTGTCTCTCCAACAGCAGACCTCCTCTGCCTGCACACCCTTGGGCCTGAGCTTTCCTCTTCTACCTTGTCTTTAAAAATACTTTATTTACATTTATATTAATAGAAAAATATCAGAAAACAAAAATTGCCTGTAACCTGACAACTCAGAGATAAGACCATCAGGAACATTTTGAGAGGTTTTTTTTTTTTTGTTTTGTTTTGTTTTGTTTTGTTTTATTTTCAGCATTTTGCTCTGTATTTATATCTCAAGGGATCAATTAATGTGTTTCGTGCCCTTGGTTGGCAGTTCACATGCAAATCTATGTTTCCCCCTCTTGTTGTTAAAGCAGGCAGCTGAGGTTGTTCAGCTACTTAAGAAGAATAGAAATTCATGGTAGAAAGAGAAAGAAAAATGACCCTTGTAAGGGTTTGGTTTGAGCAAAATGATGAGTGGGGACCACTCACAACGCACAAGACCTTGGCGGGAAGAAGCGGGAGGCCCTCCCTGACCTCTGGGCCATTCATCCCAACACCTGCTCTCCCTGTTGCTTTTGCAGGCAGCAACTTGAATGATGGCTTGTGGCATTCAGTCAGCATCAACGCCAGGAGGAGCCGCATCACTCTCTCCCTGGATAACGATGCAGCGTCCCCTGATCCGGACACCACCCGGATACAGATTTATTCTGGAAATAGCTATTACTTTGGAGGTAAATTACTCAGCTTTGAGGCTGAAAATAAAGAAAGGAGGGAGAATGTAGTGGGCAATTAATTTACTATGATGATTCTTCCTTTGTCAATTGGAGCATTCTTCCAACACACACTCACTCACACAGGGCCAACCTCCCCAAACATACATAGAGGCACAGACACCCACCTCCAAGCCCAAAATAATGGGAAGCAAGCCCTCTCACAGCTGTGCAGATATAAATTATCTAGGTCAGTGCTGAGGAAAAAAAGACTAGCAATAAGAGCTGGTGTTATATAACTCATCCAAAGGAGATTTTTATAGCATAGCACAGCAGGCGCCCCGATCAGATTTGAAAGGGGAAACTCAGCTGTAAACTTGGAGCAAGCACCAACAGTCAGCAGTGCCTGAAAGAGGAAGTATCCAGGAAGTATCACAGCCAGCGCGCTCATCCACAAGGCCACTCCTCTGCACCTACTGCCTCTGTCCCCTGGAGGCCATGCCTCTGAGGAAGACCTAGGAGGCCCATGAGCAGAAGGCTCCTTGTGGAGCAGCCAGAGACCTCACCCTCTCCAACTTTGGTGAATCTTCAGAGCCTTTCCTACAGGTCAAAACAACAACAACACAAGAAAGAAATAAGCAAACATGTAATTAGTCACCTACTGAACTTTTATAGGTGCAGATATATTTTTCAAGGAATTTCTTTCATTAAGAAAAATAATACCTAATTCACTGCCCATGTGTTTATATTTTAGAAACAATATCTAAAGAGCAATTAACCTAAGTATCTGTATGACCATGAGGAAAAAAAGACTAGCAATAAGAGCTGGTGTTATATAACTATGTGCCTTGAATGTCCTCATCCAGGCGATGAGAGGCACAGCAGAATTGTTGGGACAGTTCCCTGAGGTCAAGGTTTACATGTGTAACACAGAACTTTCCATCTGGCAAGGAATGGACAAACTGGCTTCAAACTTTGTAAATATTGGCGTGGACTGAGCCTGGTCTATGGTCACCAATCATTTTTCCATTAGGAAACTGAAGAGAAATTGTGTGTAAAATCATCAAGTTCAGTCTCCAGTAAAACTTACAAATCATCTTTCTCAGACCAGTGACATGTGCTTAAGCTTTGAGATATAAGAGATACTTTGCCCAGAAGCAGTGCACACACGGGGTGTCCCCAGGAGGGAAGCAGTGGGAGCCATCATCTATTTGCCCTTTGATTTTAGGGTCTCAGGAAAGAACTCTGTCCCTTACTTTAAGACTTCTGCACTTGTACATGATATCTAAGTCCTTTAAAAGAAGAACAGTTTCATTCTCTGCAAGTGTTTCAGCTCATTTCATTCATGTGGTGACTTTGTGAAGTAGGTAATAGTAGCCCTATTCACAGAAAGTAAGAGTGATATTTGCTTAGACAGAATAATTTGTGTGAGTAGCAGAAGCAGGATTTACTCAGATCTGTGTTCACAACACACAGCAAAGGGATGCCAATTCATGTAGCACAAAAGCATATAATTTTGCATCACATGTAATGCTTCTAACAGAGAGAACAGTGATCTTATTTCTTTATTTCTTTGAAAAATACTGAACAATCATTATGATGAATGAGTATCTGAATGCCTCCAAGTAAAAATGCCCCCCCTACCCCAGTGGAAGAGGAGTCCTTGGACGTGACTGTTAAGGGCACTATGCTCAGAAGGTGAAGATGAATCTGTGACTTGAGCAGCCTTTGGAGAAATGTCCCACAAGTAGACTGTAAACTTAAGGAAGCTAAAAAATGAGTTTGAGTAATAATAGTCAACTTACATAAATTCTCTCTATAGCCTCAATTAGAAGTCGTAACATTTCTCTTCACTTTATAGAGTGTGCTTGTGGGCTGTTAACCAGCTGCCAGACTTCAGCCCAGCAGTGACTGTCTATTAGAGATGGCAGAAATAATTCCCAGTTATTTATGGGTTATTGCCATGTTTTCAAGCTTGCATTTCCATATGGTCTGAACCTATTAAGGCAATTAGTATGTAGTTTATAAGGAGCTTAAGCACTGATATACCTATTTGCTTTCTACCTGTCTTGAATGAGGAGTAGATGTCCAGGTGGCTGCTTTGTCTTTAAAAGAACACCTTTTTTAAAAGGTACATTGTTAACCTTTCTGAGTGTTATTACAGCCCAATAACTGTGTGCATTTCAACCCTTAGTCCCTTTAGTGTCTGGATTTAGTTTGCACATCACTTCAAAATCCCAGTTATGTTTCTACATGTACCTTTATCAGGTGCATGTAGCCTGTTAATGTTGACAATTAACCAGCTAATCACTCTGTCACCATCCTCACCCAAAGCATAATTTCCTTTGAAAGTTAACCCAGAATTGAATTGTGCAGTTAGAAATGTGTTTCAGGACAGAACCGACATCCCCAGATAGTGATTGCATGTTGTGTTCTTGGGATGAGTGAGGAAGCCCAGGCAGAAGACTGGCACAAAGCTGATGCAGGGAAAGATAAAGAACAAGACACACTTTATGGTGTTTATATTCCCTTCCACACATTGGTTTTAGCTGTGTATAGTGATGGAGGTTGCCCCCCTTTGAACCAATTCTGTCCCCTTTCTGAAAATGCTATGATTTACAACTAAACTGTGTGCACTTCTGTGAATGAGAAAGCACCACAATAATTAGACCTCAAGGTCTCCCATCGATAAGTCTCCAGAGCAATGACTGATCATCTCAGTGTTCTTAATTTTTTTCCTCTGTCCCACAGGGTGCCCTGACAATCTCACCGCTTCCCAATGCTTAAATCCTATCAAGGCTTTCCAAGGCTGCATGAGGCTCATCTTTATTGATAACCAGCCCAAGGACCTCATTTCAGTTCAGCAAGGCTCCCTGGGGAATTTTAGTGACTTACACATTGATCTGTGTAGCATCAAAGACAGGTAATTATTCTCTCTTCTCCCCTGCTCTCCCACCCCCTCTTCCCATCCTCACTGTTCTAAATATGTGTTTCTTTAAGCAGAATTCTAATCCACTGACTTTAGCCACTTTAGATATAATTGAGTTGCCTAATGGAAAATATCTCTGAAAGGATTCCAGATCCAGAGAAAAATGGTTTAAATTAGCTGAGTCTCTGTTCATGTTGACTTGCAGTAAATGGGATATGCAAATTAAATCAAACTGCAAATTTGTGAAAGGATTAAAGTTTTGTGCATAAATGCCATTTGATTACTTTGAAGTTAAAAGTAATGTGGAGAGGAGGAGGAATCCCTTTTCTCCTGCACCTTCTCATTTTCCAGTGCAGTGGGTGTCCCCTTCACACAGGTGAGCCTGGGGCACTCTGGGACCCTGGAGCAGAGGTTGGGCAGTGCCCTCTGCACAGGGACAGGCCCAGGCCCAGCCTTGGTGGTCATTGCCCCTGAGTCTTTTCTTCTGGGGCCCCGCAGAGACCAAACCCCACAGGGAGAACCCTCATATTCACTGCTGCCACACATCCTGCAGGTGCTCTGCTTCTTCTTTCTCAGGTGTTCTGGCTCCTCTTTATTGGAAGTTTCTAGATTCAAAGACACACGGCAGAAAGTTAAAAGGGGTGATTCTGAATTTTCAACAAGGTTTATCATGTTCCCCAATTTTCCTCTCTAGAGCTTGCCTCCTTCTCTCAATCCTACTAAACCTGGTTAAAATACCATCTACTCAATGGGTGAATGATGTGTGTTAGTTGCAAGCCGATATGTTAGTGAAATAGAGTATTTACTCAATTTTCATCAGGGAATCAATCAGCCATTACAATGAAGGGCAATGAATGGCCAAGAAGTCACCCTTATTTTTATAAAATATGGCAGCAGCAACTTAGTCTGGCACAGGGGGAATGAGGGAAATATGGTTTTTAAGAAGTGTGCTGTGCTGGATCTTACAGGACAGGGAGACCTGGCTGAGTGGAGGCTGAGTTGACAGGAGACAGCATGTCATGGCACAGAAATAGGAAGGGCCATGCTTGCAAGTATTTCATCAATTCAATACAAATATTATAAACTCATTTTAGAATCTGTAATATTTGAATACATTTAAAGCTGATAGTAATAGTTTAATTGGCAACATTTACTTATCTTACTGGCATATAAAATAGTGGCATGTCTTACAGATAATGGTATCTTTGATTTATTAAAATATAGCTCAGTGAGGATGGCAGGGCGCTGTGGTGCAGCACATGGCTAGAATGTGGTTAGAGATGGGGCCAGTATTAACATGAAGAACTTTGAGTGCCCATGGAATTTGTTGCTCTCGGCAAAAATCAGAAAGGATAGCAGCAGATCAGCCTACTGAGCACTCAGGGAAATATAAGAAAGATGGAGAGAATGAGGGCCATCCCTGAGCTTGAGGTAGCTGCCCTGTTCCAGAGGAGCAGTGAGAAGTGGTAGGTCACTCTCCTGAGCACAAAGTCAGCTAATTGCTGCTCAGAACGACCAGTGTGAGTTGGCAGGCCTTTATGAGAATGCTCCTCTGCTCGTACCACAACACACGGGTGGTCATTGAATGGCACAGACTTCCTGGCTCTTCTACTTTATTTTCTTATATATTGTTATTGATTTCACAGAAGAAGGGGAAGAGAGAGATCGATAATGAGAGAGAATCATTGATTGGTTGCCTTCTGCATGCTCTTCACTGGGGATCAAGCCCGAAACCCAGGCATGTGCTCTGACCAGGAATAAAACCGTGACCTCCTGGTTCATAGGTTGATGTTCAACTACTTAGCCTCATCGGCTGGGCTGTCTTTTTTTTTTTTCTGTTTGACCTGCTGAACATCTGGGTAATAACATGTGTGTTTCACTACAATGTGCTTGATCTGGGACCGGAGAATAAAAGACACTGCACATAGTGTCTGCCGCCCCTGCAGTCTTTACTGATGATGAGCTCTGTCAGCCAGCACAGCTTTTCATAGTGTGGATCAATAGAGGAAGCATTTGTCAACAGGAATCTCCAACCAGACCTTAATTTCTAATCAAGGAAGCTCTCATTTTTGCTGACAGAAAGTCATTGCCATCTACACTGCATCATTACTTTTGTGTGATTGTAGTCTGTGTAATTGTATTACACACAATTGTGTTTTGGTTAATTGTATAATAATAAGGCATTGTGCTTAGTTTTGTGGCTAAATGGTATGTTTTTCTTCATTTGCTAGACAGTGTCTCTAACAGAAGCGAAAGCCCTGGTAAAAGGCTTTGCTTAATTAATTATCTCTTGAACTTACATTTAATATTTGTTGGAAAGGAGCATGGTTTCTGGGTTTTGTGTTTTCTTTTTACTGTGTTAATTAACGTACTCCTGGTTTAAGGGCAGGCTCAGTCTCTGCCTTCAAGGATCAGATCCCTTGAGTACGGGATGGGTGTGCTGAGAGGGGTGGGGTGGAGCAGAGTTTGACTGGTTTTCTTACTTGTGTTCTTGTCTGGAAAGCTCATGAGGGAAGCCTTTGATCTGGCCTAAGAGTCTCTTCTCTCCCAGACCAGTCTCCTCTCTGCCCCTTCCTCAGGAGCTCTGCATGGAGACCCACACCTCCTCCTTGGCTTCGAGGCCGCCCTAACCACCTCCCCGCCCCTCCCTCAGAGTGCTCTCTTGGGCTGTGCAGAGGAGTTCCCCTTCCATGTGGCAATCATTCATATGCAAAGGCTCCTACTGTTGGTCACCACGGGGAAACCAAGGAGCCTTCACAGAAGAGGCACATATGTTATAAAATCACAAGAGCTTCCCCCCCCCCTTAAGGGGGGGATCCTTAAAGCATGTTCCCTTGAGATGATGCCTAGCTCTACTGCCCAGCCTGTGCAATGTTTTGAGAGGAAGTGGAAGTCACACCTAAGAAAATCCACTAATTCATAAACCATTCTTAGGACAATCTTTTTTGTTAAAGAAGGAAAAGTTCCTTTCTAGGAACTGAGGACCTAACAATTTGTATCTTAATGATTGGCAAGTCCCATGTTCTCTGGCCTTAGGGAAGAAAGGGCTTGGCATCCTTTGATCTGGCTGCTGCTCTGGCAACAGAAAAGTGCTTGCTTTAGGATGCTCCAGCTGCAGAGCTGCCCATACCCAGCAGTGCAAGGGCAGGATGGAGAAGAGGGCCAAGCACTATTGGAGTAACCTCAATTGGGACATGAGGGGTGCACCCCAGCATGCACTTGCACTGGTCTGCCTAAGCCTCCAGGATGGTGTGCAGCCACCTCCCTCCTCTGCAGGTGGGATCTCCACACTCATGCTCTCCACACCCAAGACCCTGTTCTCCAGGAGCTACTTTTATCTCTTGCAACCTTTTGGACTTGGGACAGGCAAGACATGATAGTCTCAACTATCATAGAGCCAAGTCGCCCTCAATAAATGCTTTATTACTTCCACAACTCTTTATCACACCCTTTGTTATTCGGCCATACAGATGGGCAGTGGGAGAACGGGTGAGGAAGTTTCATGTATACAGGGGAGTGATATAAGATGTGCTGAGAGCTGTACAAGCCATGGGAGTTGAGGGCAAAAAAAAAATAATAATCATTGAATGAGGTCTAAAAATTGAAATAGGAAAGAGGGCGCAAGGTGTGGAGGAACAGAGGGATGCTGACAAGTCAGCTGTCTGACATGAGAGGAAGTGGAAGTCACACCTGAGGAAATCCTTTAAGCCCACTGTGACTGTCAACAACTTTGAGCAATAATAAGCCTGTTTAATTCCCATCCACTACTCATCAACTTGGATGACACATATTATTTAACCATTTTTATTCTTTATTGATTAAAGTATTACATATGTCTCCCCCAGCACATGCCCTCACCCCCCGAATGTCTGTGTCCATTGGTTATGCTCATATGCATGCATATATGTCCTTTTAATCCATGTTCCTTTTTTTTTGCAAAGCCAAGCTTATAAAACCTTCTTTTGTGCTGAGCATGAGTCTATGAGAATCAGGGGCTCAGAGGTGGGTCTTATGAGCAGATACACAGTAAATGTTGCCTTGTAAATTCCTAGGGTGAAAAGTTCCCTAAATCTACTCTCCAATGGAACAGGAGAAGCCCAGCCCTCCTTCTGAAGCACTCCCATCCTTCACCATGGCCAAGAGATCCCCAGTAGTTTCTGTGGTCTCTCCCCATAGATATGCCCCTCAGGTGCTCTCTAATCTGCCTGTTCTGTGACTCCCTTGGGCTTTGATCCCCACTTATTCAGAGGGCTGCCTCCTGGAAGACCTTTCACCACCCAATAGGAACATTTGGTGCCCAGGTGGGCTCTGGTCATTAAAGTCTTCTAAAACACTGGCCTCAGGCCCAGAGAGAGTGACAAAAGCAGGTGATGTGCCTAGGGCACACAATTTAAGGTGGTCCCTATTTCAAAATTCATCTTTTTTGTTAAAGAAGGAAAATATGCTGACTGGACCTGGACTTGAATGCCTCCTTAAATTTTGTAGGTCAATTCCAACATAGGTCATCAGAATCCTCAGAAAGGTTTCTTAAAATCCCAGTTGTTTGGTACCACCCCTAGCATTACTATAGGGGCCAATAAAATCTACATTTATATCAACTTTCAGGGTGCTGCTGGTGCTGCTGTACTGGTCTTGGGACTAGACTTGGAGAGCCACTGCCCTAAAGCTTTTCTCATCCTGGAGGCCAGGGGTTACATCGATTCTGTACAAAAAAGGTGCAGGGGCATAGGAGGGGTGGCCGTGGCTCCAGCTGAGCCCCCAGTAGCTCTTCTCCTCATCAGGGTCTCACAAGTTCTGAGAAGTTCCGGCAGCTCTGTCTCCATGCCTCTCTCCAAACAGGTGCAGAGTTTAGTCCAAAGGACGCTGGGAATCAGCTGAATCCCCTCTTCTCCAGTCATCCCTGGTCTTTGTCACTTAAGACACCACCCTCCCTCCTTTTCCCACTACAAAGAACACTTTCATGACTATAAATAAGCAAAAATCCTCAGAGGGTA